TGAGATTTTCCAATTAGGATTAGGTAAGTCATGCCATTAGAGTAACATGCATCATCATACTTATGATACTGTTATTCCAGCCTGTCACGCGAGTGACCCGGGTTAGATCCCCTGCAGCGGCGCCAAAATTTGATACGCTCAAACTGACTTTTCAAATACGATGTAAAGCGGTCGTATCAAGTAAAGAACCCAACTAATGAGGTTTGGATCGTTCCCATGAGGAAAGTAGTTCAGACTTAACATCAATCTATTATTTCTACTATTTAGTTAAATATTTCATTGGAAATAAAATACAATAAAAAGGGGGGGTTTTATTTCTAAATGAATGAAAATAAGTAGCTAATTTAAAGGAGAAAACTAACAGCTTCAAATATTGGAGTTTAATCAATTAATCAAATTAACTAGGGTTTACGTGTTCCCCACAAGTTTATAACTTGTTAATTAAAACTATAACAATTCTTTCCACGTATCATGCATGCAAAGTGATAAGTTATGTATTTCTAGATCCTTGGTTCGTCATCTATAAAATTTCACTCGCACTTTTGTCCGGCTATGTGTGTTGCTATACTAACCCTTACCTTCACATCATATCAAGCATCGTATTAAATATTTGACTAAAATATTACCTCGTACCAATCAATACTAGCCTATTAGACAGTATAAACTAAATCTATGTTGATAATTCTTTTCCTATTATCTAACTCTTTTGTCTGGCAAGTAGCATTAAGGCATGTTCTAATGTTGGCCATCCGTTAAAAGATTTCTAAGCGAAAGAATTATCAATACATGCAAGACACTATTCTAGAATTGTTATTTTACTTAGGTTTTACCTCATTATTCGCCTATGGTTCCCACAACCCTAGTTATGGAGTTTAGTTACCCATAGTCATAATCACAATATTCAAATATATGATATAAAAATTAATGCACTCACTTCAATGAGAAAGAGTAAAATCCAAAAGTTCACTTGATTAATCAACAAAAAGCACCAACAATCAATTACTGCAATTAATTGAATACTAAAGATTCTCCAAAAGTATAATAAGAATCATATAAATCTAATCCACAAAGAAGCTCAAATAACAAAAAGTCTAACAAAGAGTCTTAAAATAATCAAGAGTCTAACACCAAAAATTAGGTTTTTCGAACAATTTATAAAAAATTAAAACTTAATTAAATTAAGGACTCTATTTGCTGAAAATCTGTAAAAATGTTGTTGGGTCGACGGACCTCGCGGTGGATCATTGTGGTCACGATGGACCGTCATGGACACCGCCATACCATTCTTGTGCAATTTCTTCTTCTGCTGACTTCATTACCCTCGACGACACGTATAACGGATAATCACAGGCATAACATTCTATCTATTGTCTCCATTACAAAACACTTGAACTCTTTGAATTTGGGTACTAGGAATACTTCTCTGATCTTCATGAAGAACATCAGGAAGGATTATCATGGATATGACGGTCCGTCACTCACTACGTTACCCCACACATGGTAAGAATTCCCATCTTTCATCAACAGTTGCACTACGATGCCACCTCCGAACCATCACTAGCAGGACGTACTGTCACAAGCCCCGTAGGTGGTACTTTCCTATATTTCTTGCTCAATAACCTCCGCATTCATCTTTTTGACAGATTTCCTACAAATAAAGAGAAACTTACATAAAAGTTAGTACAAAAAAGGATCTGGACACACTAAACATAAGGAAAAAGTATTAAAAATACCGTGAAACCATGGTATATCAATATGGCACATAACATTTTTGATATCATTCCTTCATATGCCATGAGACCTTGCAATCATGGACTTGACATCAAGACGAAATTCATCAATAGAAGATGGAAATTTTCTTTTAATTTTTCAGAATCCTTTCATCAAGTTACACCTTAGTTCTTAGGGACATTCGTAGTGCATTTAGAATATTTTATATGCATCTTAATGTATTCGTTTAGCCAAGACATTATACCTTAAATCAGCCACATTTCAACTCATATGAACATCATATTGATATCAACATGTCTACATGAAATTTAATGAACTATGATGCCATTTGAAGTCCTAAACCACAACAAATAGCCACAGCAACACACACATACAGACATAGTTACATTTTCGGAAACATTAACATAAACCACATAATTCCAAACATACATATACACACATAATCATGACGAAAACACCTCTCATCCCTAGTTTTCTACCAGCAAACATAACAAACCTATTATTTAATGGGAGCTAGTGACAGGGACATGCAACAGGGAACAATCCCAGTTTTTGGAATGAATATTCTGAACCTTAAGGGGTCTCTTTTGAAAGAACCAAGAGAGAAGAGAACCCATACTTTTTTGACGTTATAAACTGCACTTGCTTACCAAATAACCCCTCCAAACACACGTCAAAATCCAAGAGCTTCAACACAAACTTGACGGAAAAACCCTCTTTTAGGCTAAGATTATGATTACTTTTTTGTTTATAATTTTCGTTTTAAGCTCTTCAGGTATGAAGAACTATGGTTTACCTACTATTTTTGTACATTATTTGGCAGAGAAAAACGTGATTGAGAGTGCTAAAGACGCGAGAGAGAGAGATGAGCGTGAAAGAGAAGAGTTTTCTTAGGCATAGAAGTCTAGTTTAGGACTTAGTGAAATAAGGTTTTATTTAATTATAAAAATAAGATTTTATTTTATATTAGATCAGCTAATAAATAATAAATATAAATTAATTATATTAATTTACCAACTTAAATTAAAACAATTTATTCATCTCTTCGACCTATGTTCGAACCAAATTGGAGCAAGACTTAACTTCAAGAGCTCAATTTTGGCCCTCCCTCCCCTAAATGCCCCTCCACCTTATTAATTAAATCAATAATTATATATTAAGCGTAACTATGATACTAACCTTAGCCTTGGAAAATACCATTTTACCTCTAGACCCTACAACCTAAAATTTTCCCTTTCTAAGTCTGGCAAAGACTCCTTCAAGTAAATCTTTGTAGTCGAGAGCCCTACTTAGTTAGACCAAACCATTCCAAGATCAAATAACTCCCAAAGATAGTTGGATTCACTGTAGCAAGGGTTTCGAGGTCTTGTTCTACGCGCATCAATCTGTGTGAATCCTAGTCTAATCATACGCATTCATGACACATTAAACATTTCTTATCTTATCAACTTTTAGGGTTGTTATAGTGAGTTAAATATTAATTAATAACATTGCCTACTTAGATCGAAATCAAGATCTTGGAATACATACAAGATGCCTAATTCTTGTACCACACAATCTTTAGATGATATGAGTCACTTAAGCAAACTATCAACAAAGCATCATAGTTTGTATGTATAGACCCATAAGTTTAGCATACGTTTAAAAATAAGTGAATGTAAGATATATGTAATGAAATGATATAACCCTAGAAGGATTAATTAAGAGTGTAAATCACACTAAATGCCCAAGTGCATTGGCACATGATGAAATGAAAAATGAAATGACGAAACCCTATAAGGGTTAAGTAAGAGTGTGAAACACACTAAATGGCAAAGTCCATTAGCATATGATGAAATGAACATTTAAATTAAAAGGGATCAGTAATTATGAAGAGCAAATGTACTAATGTTAATGAATGTGGTTACAACATGATATGAGGCTAATGTAAAAGATTAGAGAAATCTCAAATGAGCCTAAGTAAATGTTACCAAAATGTACTAACCCATGAGAGTGTAATATTTAACGACGAGATTAGTCTCTATGAACATTATAATGAAAGTATTGAGATAAACATAATAATACTAAAGATGAGATGAGAAATTCTCTATTGAGCTATGATTTCCTTATACTAGAAGCAAGCTTCCACGTATGATTTGAATGTATTGGAACTTTATACTGAGCACCGATAGACTAGCTATGAGCGGTGATTCCTTCTTTCAAGAATGGCGAAGGTTCACGTAACTCTCATGAGATTAGACTTTTTGTCATGCCGGATATGGGTATCCTTACATCTCCTAGTCTTTGAACTTATACTACCAATATAAGTATCTAGCGGGGTTAAATTCCCATGTACGCTAGCCTGTTTTGGGTAACTTTGGATAGTGATTCCATGTTTTTTTCAACTGGAGTTTCATTACACTAGATTTCATGAGTCTCATATGATCTATGTTGGTTACAGTTAAATTCACAATCAATGAATAAGTTCATCCTTAAATGATGCACATAATGAAATGAATAGTACAAAAGGTGTTAGGACAGAATAATCAAGAGGTGACCTAGACTCAAGTAATGACACTCGGTCATTCTTGATTATTGCATAGCGAACCCGATGAAAGTCATAAACTACGTTTATAACTAGTGATTACACTAGCCTATGAATGAAATGAAATGAAGTACGTATGAAGGAATGAAGCAGACTCTGTGTTCCCCAAAAAAGGCTCCCAAGTTGAGATTTGGGGGTGGAAGCAGATTTATAAAGAAAGAGAAAATATTACAGAGAGGAGAAGATGATGGAAGATTGGTGGTTTTATTTATGAGGGAAGACCCTCTATTTATACACAACAATCTTACCTCTTTGGCCAAAAATGGCCGACACCTACTTTATACTTGGCCTTATTACATTTGGCCAACGCTAAAAACAAAAAACTTAGTGGCCTATCTTTATTATTGGCCGACACACTTACTATTTACTGAACGACTTTTATAATTGGCTTTTTACAGCAGACACAACACGACAAAAATAAAAGACTATTACTTTGTACATATGGCTGATATTCAGCCGACACAAAAAACAAAATACTTTACTAAATACCTTTTTTTTATTCTAAAAGTACCTAAGGGATTATGTCATCCCCTTGGTTACATTTTGAACAAATATGGTCTGGGTATTTGTGCCCAATTATGTTGCAATATCTTGTCATCAGTTCTTCGGATATGAATCCTTCCTTTATTGCTCTAGTTGTTGGCGTAGCTTCTTGTTTAAACAGGGACAAAATCCATTTTTGGACTTCTTCCATATCTGCTTGTCTTATTTATCGCAAATTGGCATATATCATTATGTGATCTCTCGAATAGTAGCTCCATATGGTGTTGCCTTGTAGATAGTTATTTGCTAGCTCTTGTATAATAGTTGATAATCCAATTATCCTTTTATTGGCATAGAAACTGGGTATCTCCACTCTTGTTATCTCTGGCTGTTGGCCTATATCTTCTGGGATTATCATTTGCCGTGTTAGCCCAATTTTAACAATCTGGATCATTGGCTTTATTGCATCATAGAGTATCTCCGCTGGTGCTGTGTAGAATCTTATGAAAAATAAGTTTCCTTTTGTTATCTTTTTATATATTAAAAATGCTTTGTGGACATCTGGGATTCCACTTATTTCTTCACATGTATATGTACATACTGTATTTAATAATCCATAGTTATAACAAGTTTTTACTAGGTTTGGATTAGTTTTTGGTTGTGCAATTAACTTGTTATAATCTTGTAGTTTTTGGGTTAGGTAGTCTTGGGTTTTTTCTAATGTCGTGATAGATTTGGGTTTTTGATTCAATAAGTTTTGTATCTTGTATAGGTTTTCAATATATGTTCGGGATATATGGTTATATGTTTTCTTCTCTTTATGCAGGCTAGCTGCATACGTAGATATTTGTGGTGCTGAAGTATCTATTTTTTGTACCTTTAAAGTAAATGGTTTGGTAAATATGCTATTTAGGTTTGTGTTTTTGGGTGTAGGTTTCTCCATAGCTCCTTTGCTTTTACCTGCAACATCAGTAATGTCATGGGTTTTAAGGAGTTTCCCAACGTCTCCTTTTAGTTCTAGCTGTTTTTCGTCTGCCGAACGACGTAGCTCCGCATTTTTAGAGTCATGTTGCTGACTATTAGCTTTCAGATTTTGTACATCTGTCTCTATTTTTTCCATTTTCTAGCATAGGTTTGTCATCATTGCCAATAGATCTTTCATTATATCTCTTTCTTGAGCGGTAGTCAGCAATAGGATTTTCATCAGTTTTAATAATCTCAATTGTAAATGTAAAATTCAATATATTTAATGTTAATCTTCTTATTTCTTTTGTTGTAACTGAATCATCTATCTTTTTGGTATCCACCACTTTACCTGTGTGTTATCTGTTCTTACAATAAATTTATTGTAAACTATATATGGTTCAAATGCTAACAAACATTTATATAATGCAAATAATTCTTTTCTATATATTTTCCATTTTGCTTGTGCTTCAGTATATGATCCTGAGCAATACCTGTAATGGTGTTCTATCTTTTCTTTGTTATATTTATATTTTAGTACTCCTCCATAACTGTGGTCACTTGAATCTGTTTCAATTATATATGTAAATGTTTTACTTTCATCAGGAAAATATAGTTTTGGTAATTTTTTTGCATAATTTTTTGATATTTTTTATGTGTTCTTTGTCTTTGTTGTCAAATTGATATTCAACATCCTTTTTGAGTTTTTTGTATAGTGGTTTTAAATGTTCTGCTAGTTTTGGTATGTATTCTCTTACTTGATTTACTAATCCTAAGAATGATTGTAATTTCTTTTTTGTATCTATATTTTCATCAATAGTAATTATTTTTTGTACTACATGAGTTTGCATTTTTATTCCATTTTTATCTATTTGTATTCCTAGAAATTCTATTTGTGGTTTCATAATTTCTGCTTTACTTTTACTTAAACTTATACCTGAATGTTTAGTTTTATGTATAAATTTTTCTAATAATCTTATATGTTCATCTTGTGTTTTAGAATATAGTAATATATCATCTATATATACAACACAATTTTCTAACTGGTTAAAACAGTTATCCATAAAATGTTGGTATCTACCTGGTGCATTTTTATATCCAAATGGTAATACATTTCATTCATAAAATCCTTACGGTACTGTGAATGCTGTTAATTGTTTAGATTCTTCTTCTAGTTTTAGATGGTAAAATCCTGATTTACAGTCAAATTTGCGAAAATAGTTGTATCCTTGTATTTGTCTTATTTTAAGTATTTTATTAGGTATTGGATAATTATATGTTTTAGTTTTGACATTTAAATTTTTGTAGTCAATATTCATTCTACTTTTGTCTCTTTTTTGTTCAGTGTGTTTTATAACTATAAATGTTGGGCTTATATGTTTACTATTACTTTCTTGTATATAATTTTTTTCCAGTAATTCATTTATATGTATTTTTAATTCTTGCAAATCATAAAAGTTGTATTTTAATGGTTTTTATGTTATTATACTATTTTCATCTATTAGTTCAATTTTTACTTTTGTTTTATGTTTTTCCCATCCTTGTAATGGGTCTTCATTATATAATTGTTCTAGTTGTTCATTAATTATTTTAACTTTGTCTATTGTAAATATAATGATTTCTAATTGTGATATTTGTTTTTCATTTATATTTTCCATTTCCTGGTTTATTTTTTCACTAACTTTAATCCATTCTATAGATTTTCTTTGTTTATTTTTTACTCTTTTCGCTCCTATTTTATAGGCACATGGCGTAGTAAGCCACCAGTGTGTTTTTGTTATTATATGTGGGTAAAATTTGTCTAGAAATGGCATTCCTAGCAACATATCTTTTGTTGTGAATTCAAAATTATAAATTTCTTCTATTGTTAATATTTTATCCCATATTTGTATTTTTATAATTTTTGCTTTATATTTAATCATACTTCCTTCATTATTAAATCCTGTTACTACAATAGGTGTTTTTAATTTTTCCCATTTATCTTCTGGTAAACAATTATATTTACATATATTCGCTTCTGCTCCTGTATCTATTATAGGGGTATAGTATCTGTTGTGATATCCTTCTACAATAATTTTTGCATGAATAAATATTTTCATTAATCATTTGGTTCTTTTTATAATTAATTTTTTATTTTGACAAGTTATTGTTAATTGTTCATTTTCTATGTTGTATGGTTTAACTTTTTCTAACCATTTTATTCCTAACGTGATATTATGGTTTCCTTCATATATCTTAAATTGTATTTTTAATGGAATTCCTCCCATAATTATTTCTTTTTCTGTTGTTTCTTCATTTGTATTTACTATTTCGCTAGGTAATCCAGAGCATATGTGTCCTGTTTTCATAATTTCTTCTTCTAATACTAATTCTCTTGTTATATGATTTTCTTCTTGTGCTGTGTTTATCAAGATTATATATTTTCTCTGGTCCATTATTCCTGTTATAAAATAATGATATAGTGTCGTTTCTTCTAATAAATTTTGTGGTATTTCATATTTTCTTTTAGATGTACTCATCCTTGATGAGGTAGCTCTGGTTATCATATTTAATGTACTTGTATTTGGTGTACTTGAGGTGCTTAATCTTTCTTTTTCTATTTCCAAATCTCCTTCTGTATCAATTTCTTTATAACTATAGTCATTATTATCTATTAAGTTAATTATTTTTTCAAAAGGATTTTCTATTTTTATTTTATCAATTTTATTTCTTGCTTTTATTTTATATTTTGTTGTTAATATATATAGATTTTTACATCTTGCTGTGAATACCTTACTTCCTGGTGTTAACTCTATTCCTGACATTTTCCAATATAATACTAATGATTTATTTATATTTGTATCTGTTAATTCTATTGTATAATTAGCACTTATTATAAATTTAAATTTTTGATATATTAAATTTCCTTTGACTGCACTTATTACACTTTTTTCTATAGGGTGTATTATTCTGTCATCTGCTAAATATATTTCAATGGGTGTATCTATTCCTTCTCTGAAACAAGCTTTTATTAGTATTTCCGTTCCTCCTAAATGTACATATTTTATAGCTGCTTTATTTTTTATGTTTTGTATTTCTTTATTTATTATTCGTTTGTTTATTATAGGTACGTATTCTTTTCCGCTTGTATATTTACCGTCTATGATGTGTTCTTTTTGACTAACTACATAGTATTCTTCTTTTTGTCTTTTAAACTAGTATTTTAATGTAGGTATTTCAAATATCTTTTCAACACTTAAATCTAATTCTTTTCTTTTTATCTGTTCAAAAACTGTATTATCAAATATAATCTTTTGGTGTGATTATTCTTCATCTTCATAATTCTCTTTGGATATTATTTCGTTCTCAGACATTATATTCTTCTTCTATTTCATTTTCCAAATTTTCTTCTCCATTTTAAGTTTCTATATCTGATACTTCATATATACTGTCGTTATCACTTAATTCATAGTCTATATATTCTATTTCCATATATTTTTCATTGTCTATAATTAATTCTGCTATTTGTTTTCTTTATGGATCTTTTGATAATTTACAATTCTTAGCTATATGTCCTATTTTTCCGCAATTGTAACAAGTTCATTGGGATATCTTCCTCTTTGGTTTATATTGTCTTTTTATTTTATAATTTTTTATATAATACCTTCGTCTTGGTTGTTTATATTTATACTTAGTTTTATTTTTTCTATAATTTTTATATCTTTTGGAATTTTGTTTTTATTTGTACACCCAAACTATGGTGCCATTTTAATTTTACAACATGATAAATTTTTATATATTACTTTTTCAATTTTTAATTTTTCTTTTTGGTTCTCACATAATTGTGTAAACCATCGAGATAGAAATTTTATTCTAGCTCCTAAAGTATTTTAACGACGTGTTTAGTCGTTTTGAGCAGCAGATTTTATTTCTGGAAAACTGGCTGAGGCGACGGACCCCACGACGGACCGTCATGGGCATGATGGACCGTCGCAGGGTCTCATTTCAAAACACTATGAAATTCTGAAATAGGGTACTGAAAATCGACTCTCTGAACTTCGTAACGGAAAGGCAGGACGGACCGTCACAGGCATGACAGACCGTCACAGACTCTTTGGTGGAAATTGAGTCTCTGAACTTTGCGACGACCTGCACGACGGACCGTCGCAGGAACGACGGGCCATCACAGGTTGCGTAATCCCAGTCTGGGTCGGATTTCTTTACACGTTTTAAGGGACGATTTGGACTATTCCTACTTTAATTATAAAGTTAGAGGGTTAAGGTTAATAAGTTTAATTACTTGGGGATTAAATGAGGTAACCTTAAGTTAATTAGTGGGTTATTATTGCCATCTTTCATTCTTAATTATATGTTAATTAGGGTAAAAGAAAGAGGATTTGAATAAGAAAATAGAAAGAACAAGAGAGAGAGAGAATTGAACGAGGAAGAGAGAAACGAAGAGGATAACAAAGCATTGGGGAATTTGTTGCTTGATCACGAATCTTCGGTGGAGGTAGGTTATGATTATTTTATGCTATTCGTAGTAAACTCTTAATAGCGAATGATATGTATTGATAGTACTGTAAACCCTTCTATATGCTTAATTGTATGCTTGCATGAATGTGATTATGAAATTGTGATATAATAAGCATGATGAAGCTATTGAATCCTAAATCTTGAAAAGTAACCCTAATCTACTTTGTTAGTGATGATGCCTTGGTATAAAAGAACGCTTGATGAACGAAAGTAGTGAGATTAGGGGATCAGGTGCCACGTTCCGGTACCAGGATAGTATATGAGGATCGGAGTGTCACTTTCCGACACCACGGTAGTATATGGATCGGGTGCCACGTTCCGGTACCAGGATAGTATATGAGGATCGGATTTTTACGTTCCGACACCAGGATAGTATATGGATCGGGTGCCACGTTCTGGTACCAGGATAGAATATGGATCGGGTGTCACGTTCCGACACCAGGATAGAATGAGGATTGGAGTGTCACGTTCTGACACCATGATAGTATATGAGGAGCGGAGTGTCACGTACCGAACGAGAGGAATAAAGATAATGAATCTTGAAAGATGTTAATATACTCAATTTAATGAACCTAATTCCCAAATGAGTATGATGAGGAGGCGAAAGTCCTCATTGATGTGCTTGGTGTTGTGACCAAGGGTTATGGTAATTGTAAATGCTGCATGCTAAGGATATTAGTTGATTTTATGATATTACTTGATATATACTGTTTTCTATTTTGAGTTGGCCGATGATATCTACTCAGTACCCGTGTTTTGTATTGACCCCTACTTTTATGTTTTCTTCTTTGTTAATTGTGGAGTGCAGCAAACGTGCCGTCGTCTTCAACTCAACAGTAATTCTAGCCAGTCTTTGTCACACCGGATCTTCAGGGTGAGCTAATGCTTCTAGCTTGGACTGGATCTTCTTCCTCATGTCTTGATGCCTTGAAGTTCCGGCATGGACTAGCTTTTACTTGGTTTAGCTTCTTAGAATACTCTTAGTTTAGTAATTTGATAATAGATGTTCTTGTGGTGATGACTTCCAGATTTTGGGGAATAATAGTTGTTGAATTTTAGAAGTTATTGAATTGGTTTTTATTTAATGAGTTTAAGTCTTCCGCATTATTTACTGTTGATATTATATTGAAATGTTAAGGTTTAGATTGGTTGGTTCGCTCACAGAGGAGGGTAAGGGTGGGTGTCAGTCGTGACCCGATTTGGGTCGTGACAAACTTGGTATCAGAGCATTATGTTCGTTGGTCTCA